GTGAAGAATTAATGACCAGTACAATTTCCAAAATGCAGCCGGCAGTTTCGTCAAATTTTATAAGCCCTGAATAAAATTTGACGAAACTGACAAAAAAAAAAAACGGCCCAGAGAATTTTTTTACCTCATGAAGACGTCACGACGCAGATTGAAACCTTCACCATAATTAACATCGTATATGAGAAACTTCCTTTCGCCTACACTCACGTCGTCCGCTATCACCGCAAGGCTTGCATTCGCGTCACAGGTATTCACAGCAAATAACAACAGCTCGCACACCAAGCCAAACCAACCCTAAACAGATCCTAGCAGTTCTCGACAGATCCAGACAACTCTGACAGGAAGCCAGAAAAACAGCGACTTCACTCATTTCTCAGAGCCCTGTCTTTTTCATGCGTTTTTTGCAGTTATGCAAAAAACGCATATCGACGAGGGGTTGTGTGTGTTCGTGTGCGTGCGTCTGTCACGGTTTTTCATCTGAAGAACTACAAAAGCTACAGGGCTGAAACGTTGGGAACTTAATCTACATGCACATACTGGCCCCAATCCCCAAAATGGGCGCTCTTACCCGCATGGTACCCATGTACGGGCCCGTAAAAGTTTTTTGTGGGTAAGTCGCTAGCTCGGGAACCAGAAAAGTTAGAAAGCCAAAATTTCAAAGGGATGTTCCCTGCTCACGTAAGTCTCAATGAGCTCAAACTCAGACACCCGGTATGCGTGGTACTCACATACGAGCCCGCCAAAGTTTTCCTCGAGTAGGTCGCTAACTCGGGAACCTGAGAAGTTAGAAGACTATAATTTTAAGGGAATGTTCCCCATTCACGTAGGTATTAACAAGTTCAAACCCAGCTCCCGGGTATGAGTCATTTCCACACACGGGCCTATGAAATTTTTTTCGGGCAAGCTGCTAACTCGGGAAATTGAGAAGCTAGAAGACTGGAATTTTAAAGGGATGCTTGTTGACGGTCCTAGCGGCCAGTCTGAAATTCTTTTAGCTAGAAGCATCTGCTGGAAAAAACAGTGCCATTAGCAATAAAAATCTGCGGGAAACTATGCAAAAAACGCATCTTCGCATGGGCAGCCCGTGCGTTAGCCAGATATTCTTTATTGCGAAAAAATGAAGCAAACATCTTGCGCCAACACTCGATGGCATCCTAAACTGAAATAAATAGCGGCGCACACCAGGGCAGTCGGTGGGATCATGCGTTTTT